ACAAATATCACATTAATTTGTATACTTTTTTACATAAACAATAAATTTTGAAAATATTGCAGCTTTTTTGTAAATAAATGCATGTACATTTTTTGTAAACCTTGTATTTTATTTATTAAAACTTTCTTTATATACATAGGGATCCGCAAGAAAATTTGAGCCTCTCAGGGGATCCGTGCTTCCAAAAAGGTTGAAAACCACTGGTCCAGGCCCTACCTGAGCTCTGAGTTTTCTGTAGCTATAGCAACATTGTTTGCTGACAGTTCTCCTAGATATGTTGAGCTTTTTCTGCTTGGCAAAGTACAGGCAGTTAATTCACCAGTGCCCTGACAGACCACAACCAAAGTAGAGACTTCAGTCTTTTCATCCCAGATGATGTCCAGCAGACATATCATCAGCATAGGCAGCAACATATAAACTATGGACAGATCCAGAGAGACCTATTCATGCACTGGAAGCCAGTGTGGTTGCATCACAGTACAAGGATGTGTGGATGGCTGGTTAACCCTCAGTATAGCTTGAACTAGACATGCCTGAGTAGGATAGTCTGTTTGAGGTATAGCTACATTGGGGAGACTGTAACCTATAGATATCATCTGCTCTACCAGTGAAAGACACTGCTGTTACTGACCTTCTTGCACAATGTGCAGAATTACAGAAATATCCCCTGCAGACAGAGCAGGTATTATCTTTAGACAATGACAAAGGAACAAAAGTAGCTAGCAAAAAATCAACTTTATGGTGTTTCTGGACCATGTGTTTATGCAAAAATTGCACAGACTGAAAATTACATAAAAAACTTCTACATTAATATAAGAAAGTATAAAATGCATGTTATGCTTGCATACTATACTTGTATCATTATGACATCAGTGTACATATTTTGTTCATTCCCTGTCCTGCTGAATTTGTACATGTATTATTACGACATCGGTGTACACATTTTGTTTACTCTCCTGTACCATTGTATGTGTACATCCTGATTCATTATGACAAGGGTATACATATTTTATTTACTCCCCTGTACTGTTGGATGTGTACATCCTGATTCATTATGACAAGGGTATACATATTTTATTTACTCCCCTGTACTGTTGGATGTGTACATCCTGATTCATTATGACAAGGGTATACATATTTTATTTACTCCCCTGTACTGTTGGATGTGTACCTCCTGATTCATTATGGCATGGGTCATACATATTTTATTTACCCCCATGTACTGTTGGATGTGTACATCCTGATTCATTATGAGATTGCTGTAATTCTAGTAATTTTTATCCAAAATTATTTTAAATTGACCAAATATTGAACATACAGTGTGTGATGTCAGTATATATTGATCCAGTATATGGAATAGCTTTGAGCTTTTTCAAAATTTAAGAAAGATTTGAAAATAAAGTATGTTGTAATTAATTACTTTTAAGTTTGAACACATAATTATAATTTACTTTTCTTGCATTTATTAAAAGAATCTGATAAAAGAAGCAGTTTAGTTATTTTTGACAAACTAGATTATGTTAAAGCTATTTAAAATAATACATAAGGTTACAAATATGAACACCAATTTTACTAAAATCAGATAAACTGCAAATATACATAAACTTAAAAACAGTAACACAAAATGAATATTGTAATAAAAGACCTTTAGGTGGTCATCCAGGAATAATTTGAGAGAGAATGGAGAACTGCTTTATCATACCTGAAAGTGTGGATGGTCTCTAGTGATTTGACCAGCTGTGATCCAATCACTTCTTATCAAGGATTCTTTGAAGCAAGCCTTAACATAGCCATCTGCTTCCTTTGGTTGATGACAACGTCTAGAAATATAAGCTGCTATCCTTAATGAAGGTGGATTACATCGTTTGGCCATGGTTTTAGCTGCAGCTTCGGGATCACTTACAGCAAGATAACTGAAAAAATTAAAATTCAGAAAAATACTGAGAATTATAGCTCTTTTTAAACACCTCATTTTGCATTGTTTAAATTTTAATACTGAATCAGACTTTTAATTGCTGGAACTGTGCATCTACACTGAAATTAGCTGTTTACTGTCAAAATGTATTATTATTATACTATTTTACAAGTCACTCATTTTGATTTATGTGGCCACCTTATTTAAAGTTATAATGCCACAGTATAAGCTTCTAAAGACGAGCATTTTTTGAAACATTTATACACATTAAATCACTACAAAATTTATAAAATAAATTAACAATTCCTATTTCAAATTGACTTTGTTTTATCTTTTTAATGTAAAAAAAAATTACTATCTTGTTTGGAATTTTTTGTATTCAGAACTTATTGTATCTAATATCATAGATTTACTACACTTGTATTAAAGTATTTGAAAAGATCAAATTCTTCAACTTTTGTGAAAAGAAAAAAAAATTCAAAACTTGTAACTACTTTAGGATTTATTTTCATAACATATTCACTATTTTTTTAATAGTTTAAATGATCGAATTCTTCAAGCTTTGGTAAAAATTGAAAATAAAGTTTGACACTTTTTTGTTATTTTTAGATTTATTAATCTTTAATATAGATTTACTTACTATGAAAAAGTTAAATGAAACTGTTTCAATAAGAACAATATGCAAGAAAAAGGCTGAAGCATTTCCAGTAAACTTGTAATTTTCTTATACTGAAAATGTATTTCCGATAGGTACTTCCCTCTTCTCACAAGATTAACAATTAGCTATTCTCATTCATTGCTGCCCCATATATGCAAACTTTTTATTTATGCTCCCTCCCTATTGGAATCAAGTGATTCCAACATGCCTCTCATGTAAGCCATCATGTGTCACCTCTCCACCAATAGGAGTACAGTACACTCACGTGACACATGTGACTCCCTCTATGCACCTATACCAAACTATCACTTCGAAGTTTGGCAGAAAACTGAAGTACAGGAAAGTACCTATTGGAAATATATTTTCAGTGTAGGAAAATTATAATTTTTGATACAGTACTTCCCTCTTCTCACAAGATTAGCTAGAATTCCATATTAATTAGGAGGAGGGACTGGTACAAGGGAAGAACAGAGGTACCTCTCCGAAAGCATCTGAAGGATACCTCTATAGATGAGAGAGTCAGTTCTGAAAAGGGGAACCAAACCACTTCTGAGCCAGGTATACTCTTCGCCCACATGTGGAAAATGAGAGGAGCATATCTGAGTGGGAGAGAATGTGGTAGGAAAGTGATCCTAACCAGAGAAAGATATTGTAACTCAATCCTACAATGAAAAAAGTGGGTAAACAAGGATGTGCCCTTGAATGTAGAGTGGCTGGGGCTCGGCGGACTGTATATGGTAAGTTAACTACATCCAAAACGATTAAGAAGACGATAAAGGGAAGTAAGCCAATGGGATCAAAAGCCAAACACAATTGGTGAGGGTGGAAGGAGAAAGATCTCGACTTGAGAAAAATTGCCTAGGAACAAAGAGGCGGGAGCGGGCACCATGGAAAAAAGGCATATGGGCAATAAAACAAGGAAGAGCACTGACCATACATAGGAGTTGATCTGGATAAGGATGAGGATATAGATGGAAAATGAAAGGAAAGGAATTATACAATAGGAGAAGTTACCTCCCATAGCAGCCAATATCTTGGGTAGGAAGGAAAAATCTGTTTAAAAGAGAGGGAGTGGGATAAATATACGAGAAACATCATGACAAACAAATCCAGCCTCCAACGTACTCAGGTATAGAGGAGAAGGAATTATGTCTGAAGGAAAGGTGAAACATGGAACACGAGGAAAGTGATGCAAACAAAAGTAAAGTGAGAGAATAAAAGATCAAATTAATATCCCATGTCAGAATGGTAGGCAGTC